TTTGAAGCATCTGCTCTGATGCTTCACCCCCCCCCGAGCATTTGAAGCTTGAGAAACAAACAGCACATATCAAGCCCATGCCTTTCAGGCATGAAACTCTTATTAGTAGACTAGCCTTACTAGCCTTTAATTTACAGTTTTGTCTAGTGGGTGCATGTCAGCTCCACTACAAAGGGATTTAATTAGTCTGTAACTTGACATTGCAACACACCGGCTAGACAGACCAATGAAGAAGGACGTGTATGGAACTGCAGAGTGAACTGCAGATTTGCATTAACTTGGAAGCAAGAACAACAGCCACGTCCAAGCCAACTTGTGCTAACCACTGCAACAGTAACATAAATAAGCGAGTAATACAGCAAAGTGCTAAACCTTTGTCCATACCTGAGACACAGGAGGTCGAGGGGGCAGTGCAGGTGGTGGTGGGGGCAGCCAGCCAGACCTCACAGCTGAACAGCGAGTAAAGAAGGGGGGGAAAAAAAAAAACAACAAAAAACAAACCCACATTAATTTAATTCCAAATAAAACCAGAATTAATTTCCATGTGAAAAGGCAGCATTCAACATTTTAATAACAGAAACCAAACCTGACTTTTATTGAGCAAACCCTGTTTGAAATAACTTCATGAGTAGTGAATAAGCAGTGATTTAATTGCCGTAAAACCCCACAATGTTATGATAAAAAGCAGAGATGGAAGCCAGTCAGCCACAAAAGCTGTGGCTAAAGCAATCCAATTCTAGTTAAAGAACCCCAGAAACAGGGTCTACTTGTCCTTGGGACTTTGCTCTTTGTCATTAACATTATTGCCTTTTTTTAAAAGTGATTCTTTGCCATCCAATGTAGACACTAGCATTCATTCCAGATAAAACACACTATGTGATGGAGTGCAACCTTAAAAAGAAAACATCTGCCATGGAATTAATAGGACAAAAGCCTAAACGAACGAAAAAGAAATCTGTTTCTTTGGCTTTAGGTTTTATATTTGCATATTATTACTCACTGGAGGTATGTCGGAGGGAGGAAGATAAATAAGGAGAGGAAGACAAACCCTAATGGTCGGTTCAGGCCCCTTTAACATAATGCAACATCAGCTTTTAGTTGGAGCCAGCACAAAGTGGAGGGTAACAATCACATAGGTCCAGCCACTGTATTTCTCAGTTTCCTTAGAATACCTAAAACCCATCACGGGACAAAACTACAGGACAGATGATGGCTTCCAAAGGCAGCTGCAGAGAGGAGGACTAAGCTAGCACAGAGACAGCAACCACGACTGGTGGGAGTCCTTAGGTGGGTTACCCTCCCCAAGCTCCTGTCGCACTGAGTGCTCAGCACTTGCACTAGCAAAGATATCAGACAGTCCATCTTGCACTGGTGGTTATTCGTATAGCAAAAAACCCCAACAATATTAAAATTAGAAATGCCTTTTACCACAATAATGCTAAGCAAGCAATTATTTTCATACACTTTTTATTTCCATGCATGTTTTAAAAAGCCACCAAGACCATTACAAGCCCTGTTACAGCTTATCCATTTACATATTTTATATGCCAAGTCTAAATATGTCTACATGGTTGAAAATACAAAGACAAAAGATGTAACCATTAAGGACAACAGTGACAAAACGTGTGGGTTAAAACATTGAGAACAGTCATATCGACTATATACAGCTCCAGAGAGGCTTATTAATACATTGGGGTTTTTTACATCTTCTGTATCATCATCTCTTGAATCAAAATGAAGCCTAATATCACTACGCACAATGCCAAGGAGAGAGGTAGAACAATTAAATCCCAACTTAGGTTAAGCAAGGGAGCCACTAACACACCTACAGGTGTAAGAGATTTGAAAAAAACATGGTCTTTAGGATCCTTTCTCTTGCATTTGATTAGTTCCATTTGTAAGGCCACTGCAATACCAGCATGATATTGTCACTACATTCGCCATCTCTTCTGCGCAACTAATCTTTACAAAGGAACAGTGGAGCAAGAAACCTTCTTTTCCTTTAGTCTGAACTTCATTTATCTGAGCACTGGCAGTGGCTTTGGCAATTACAGCTAATAACAGTATTTGAAAACACCATCTAACTCAAACACCAGCACTCTGTAGGTCCATCAGCTGCACGCTGTAATAGCGGACAAGTACATACGCTCAACGTAATATGTTTATCTTCAGGAAACCTTGTGGGAGTCGTGTTATGACGCTCCATAGAAAACACCTGCATGCACCTTACCCTCCCACCACCACCAGCGATTATCACTGCGAGGGTATCATCTCTGCTCTCCAAACAGCTCTAATGTCATGGTGGGAGCACTAATCACGCACTCTTCCTAACGAGCCCCTGGCAGCCCAAAAACGAAGCTATGGAGTGCACTGCTGCCACGAGCACGGGGGTCCCTGGGAAGGGGCACGTGGGGCTGGGATCTGCAGGCAGGCACCGGCCCCAGCAGCTCCCTCGGCCCTTCCAAATGTACGTTAACCCCCTCCAGGGTTCATCATTTTTGTAAGTGCTGGCTTACGCTCCGGCAGGCCCTCAAAAGCTTTACTGCAAGAGCTGCGTCCATTGAGAACTGGCCCCAACTTCAGCTCCAGAGGATACACTTACTGTCCTTGCTCCCCGATTCCTCAAACCCAGTGATATACCTAGAAAAGCAGGAGGATAGTCTTTATGCAGAAAGGTGCTGGGCTTGCTGGAAAAGCATCTCCTGAAGTGGTTGCACACACTGTGAAAACCCAGAAGTCTCCTGGGATTTGGCCCACAAAATTCCAAAGGGAAAAGTAATTTTTCTGTAAGATGGTCAAATTAAAAAAAACAAACAAAAAAAAAGGAAAAAACCCCCACACCAAAAAACCCCACCCCCAAAAACCCATTTCTTCAGCTTTCAAAATACAACATATATGAATTTAGCATTAAGGAAGTTAGATGCTTACGCCATGTGCATTTGACCCAATTTCCTCTTTAATCCTGCAATTTCTAACTTAAGCTACTCATGAAATA